GTCCTTTAATCTCTTCTATGCTATAAGAGGAAGGTAGCTATGTTATCAGACTGCATCTGTGATTGTTTATGAGAGCATAGCACCAGCTCAGGAAGGTAGGGAGAGCCTACAGTCCATTTTTACATCTCCAGACAGGATTGCAGAGTGAGATGTCCATAATCACACTGCTGTGCAATCATACAGGACGTCCACACACACGTGTATGTGCTCACCGTCAACTCCCACGTGCAATGAACCACTTTGCCATTTAGGGTTCAGCCCCCCCCCCCCCCCCCCCCCCCCCCCCCCCCCCCCCCCCCCCCCCCCCCCCCCCCCCCCCCCCCCCCCCCCCCCCCCCCCCCCCCCCCCCCNCCCCCCCCCCCCCCCCCCCCCCCCCCCCCCCACCCTCCCCTACCATCCTCACGCCTACTGAGCTCATCCCAGGTGCCTGCTTTGCCCGTTCAGCCACTCTGCCCACCCACGCCCTCACACTCTCAGTCCCAGCGAGCAGCGGCGAACATTTTCCCCGCTTTCTTCTTCTCCTCTCTACTCCCACCCACTCCAAAAGGCTGTGAATCACTGGCTGAAACGCTGAAGCACCAGCAGGGCTCTTGTGTTTTTAGATGGAGAGGGACTTACATCTCTCTTTCCCTCAGCTTCTGAAGCATAGCACATTATTATGGGGTTTGACTTGCACACAGGTACAACGCTTTGTGACTGTAGGCTGACATGAGTTAATGCATGTGGGTGTGTGTGTGTGTTGAAGTGTGTCTGTGAGTGTAATATGATGCTGGAGTGCATTTGTGCCAGTGGGACTGAGAGAACAAATTAATTGTTCTCTCATGGAAACGTTGTTTAGCACTTAGTGGAGTGATTCATGCGTCTCTAAGATCAGCCTGTGCAAGTGACAGGCAAGTCCTTGCTGTCTTTTCAGAGAACCACTGCTCAATGAGTCATGTCCCCCAATCTGTCAGCAGGCACCGACTATTGTATGAGCTGTGGTTAGATCAAAACCTGACTTCTCCTAAATGCATTTCAAGTTATAAAAATGTCTTTGTGTCAGCTGATTTGGAATTGGACATAAAAGATGTCATGCATGTTGATGAACAGGTTGAGCCCTAATTTTTTGTCTGTGTTTATCAAGTGATAGCTTTTTCTATAACATATATATCAAAGAATGCTGCCCATTTTATATCCCAGACCTGAAGAGGACATCCTGATATTGTTATTTGTTCAACCCATGCCCGGATTGTCAGATAATGGTTCCCTTAGCACAGATATGCAAAGGGCACCACCACCTCTCCTACACAGGAGCAAGACACTCAGACTATGAGGTGGTTTTGTTGTTGTTTTGCATCTCTATGAAGTTGTTATGCATCTTTTTGGGGTTTTGTATCTCTTTGTGGTCATTTTGTGTCTCCTTGTGGTTGTTTTGTGTCTCTTAAGGGTCATTCTAGGTATATTTTGGTTATTATGTGTCTCTCTGTGGTCAGTTTGTGTCTTTTTTGGAAATTTTGAGTCTCTCCCTGGTCAGTATGTGTTAATTTTAGGGACGTTTTGCAGGTAAAGGCCAGAGGGGCCCTGACACTTTGGGCCCCTCTGGCCTGTGCCTGTTCAGTAATCCATGAATAGTTTTACCAATAGCACTAACCCAAAGATATAGTCTTCAGTTTACTATCTGACTCAGTAAAGCTTCGAGTTGTCACCAGAGGATGTTTTGAATATGTTTATGACTGAGATTTTTAGAACATATGATGCTAAGTAGAATCAACTGATACATAAAGGCGCGTTGGGTCTTTTACAGGAAATAAATGCGCTTCTTCCTCTATTCCTTCTGTTTGAGATGACTTAAAATGGTCTTTACTCTGGTCTCTCCGCTCTGGAGTGGACTTAGCGTAAGCCTGATTGAAGCATTCATACAATTGGTGTGTGTCAGTTACACTGGTTCATCCACTTGGCAATGAGAGATCATTTTCACCCACTGACAACTGTGATTGTCTGGACTCCGATCTGCCAAGAAATGCTTCACACAGATGGCGAGAGAGAGAACATGGAGGTTGGATGATGGAGGTTGATTTCTCCATCTTCTTACAGGCCTCAGAATAATCACACTCTGAATATTTCCTTTTAGTGGGTTGATGTGTGCTTGCTGACATGTTTGTGGGCCCTACATGAGTGTGAATGCATCTCTCGAGTGTGAGTATACAGCGTGTGTGTCTATCAGCGACTCATGCAGCCTGCAGAAGCTACATAGGCATTGTGAGGACTCGGCAGGGAGCTCTGTTCCCTTTGTGTTTGCCAGGAGCAGCTTTCCACCCACGGTGGGCAGGCAGGCAGGAAGGCAGGCAGGCTCGGTTGGCTGCTGGTTTGGCATTCACTGGATGACTTGGGTAGAAAGGAGGGAAGGCACGCAGCCATTCATGGTCATATTATGCACATAGGGAACAGGAAAGCTATGGTGGTTTAGAGATATTCTCCAGTGAATGTGTCTCTCTCTTTCTGTCTTTGACCAAAAAAAAAAAATGTGTTAATTGGGCGACAGAACAAAAATAAGAGCTGAGTTACTCTCGTGCTTAAGCTTGTGCATATTTACCCACTCACTGCTGTCTACAGTGTACTAGTTTACAGGACATAAAGCACTGATCAGACTCAACATGTGGATGGTTATATTTCACTCATTAAAATGAGGAAATTACAGGATTTAAGCAGATAAAAAAACACTGATGCTGTGCCAAAAAAATCAAGCAACCTGCAGTATAGTTGACTAAAAGCTGCCTTCATATGCACTAAATTAGGGGAGTGCAGGGGTAAATTGTAACATGGACTTTTTATGTGGTTACACAGGGTCAATCATTTCGTGCTTTGGATCAGTTGACCACAATACCACCAAACAGTGACCTGCAAAATTCAACAAAGATTGGATGTGTTTCAGCGGAGTTCAGTGACAAAGTTGCATAGAACGTAGCGGCATTTTGAACTATGTAACCAACTCCCAGCAAGTGTTAGCTAGGCTTGATAAAATTTCCAGCTGATGGGGTTAGTTGTAACGCGGAGTTACAACTACGCCTCCTATCGTGCATTTTCTCTATTTTTGCACTTCAATCTTTCTTTAAGTTTGAACTAATGTCCTTAAGTAAATAAGATATAGCCTACTTTGTATTTTTATCAGGCATCTTATTAACACAGTTTCACAGTCCTGTCAATATCCTCCTCAGACCCTGCATCCTCGTATGACGACATCCCATTTTTGGTTTCCTGCACCTTACACTTCATTTTGATTAACTTAGACCTGTTGTCCTCGTTTGTGGACACTTTTTTGTCCCATCTAGTGGTAGTAAGAGCAAAATACACTAATCCATGTAAAAAAAAAACAAAACAGCAGCCATCTCTACAAAGTCAGTCTGCAGCCGATCCTGACACAAAAGTGGAGAAAACCTGTTTAGATTTTATGGTTGAAACTTGTTTATTTATGATTAATAATGTTTGTAGTTTGATATGGCAACAAATTTGACCAATTTTAGCAACAGTAACAAGCTAAGACGCTTTTAATTAGGAAATACTCATTTGAGGACATTGGGAATTTATCATCAGCTTGTTGAAGGAAATTGGGACTTCATTATTGCTATCAATTGCTTGATCATTCAAGTTAATAACTTCACCTACTGCACATTTAAAAAGCCCACCGCAAAAAAGGTGTTCTTGGTTTATCATGCGCCTTAGATTGGCTCTTCATAAGCTTCACTTTAATTATGCAGTACTTTCTGTCACTGGGCACAATCCTGGGGAAAAAATTGAAGGCTACAGTTGGCAGGCTAGCGCTATTGTGCAACAGCTAGCCCACTAACTCTGGCAGCCAGAAACAAACATCAGTGACTCACTGTCCCTTTGAGAATCCAAACAAATAGCACAGTTTCTTGTAGTGGCCTTTCTAAAATGAGCAGGAATAAAAGTTAGCGTTACTGTCTTCTGTCATGACTAAGCACGGGGCACCCTAGCTTGCTAACTGTTAGCTCACCTTTGCAAGCTAATGTTAGCTTATTTCCATGGTGGCAAAACATTAGCAAATATTCTAAAAAGCAAATATATGTTAGTGTAAGCTAAAGTAAAACTATCAGGTTGGGTCTCATTTTGTAGTTTGTGCATCTTCTCATGGCCATTTTGTATTTATTTTACAGGGCACTGGCAGCAGGGCTCTCTTTGATAAAATCACAAACGTTGATTGGGTGAGGCAGTTGTTGTCCCAGGGCTGTCATACAATATGTTCTCAGGACAACAACCACTTGGCAAAATCAGGACATGCAACCCCATCCATGGGGTACCTTGTAACATTTCACCTCCACCACTTTTCAACGCAATTGTAGGAGAATGGTAAGCTCTAGAAAAAAATGTTTATTTGTAGATGAGATGAGCATGTTGTTAGAATAAAACAAACAAACAAAAAAATTAATCTCAAACAGTTTTTATAACAATCAGCCCAAACTAAAAAGTGTTAGTGTGCCCTGCTCTCCCCTACATCTGATGGTCCTCTTGGAGGATCTTAATTGGCTTCTATACATTGAGCAGACAGCTGGGGTCGCCAGGAGTCCACAACGCGCAGCCTGACATGCCCGAGACCACGTGAGCTGCAAACTGCACATTTAAACCTCTAGTTGCAACTATTGGCTACTGCATCCTACTCATTTGACCTTACAAGTAAACAGTGCATAATACTGAAATAAAATCCTCCATCATAGTTGTGATGTTTTCTTGAGGCGGGTGCGTAATTTCCAAATAAAAATAAGCAGCAATAAAACAAACCAAAGCATGATTGCACAAGTTAAAATGTGATTATTAATGCAAATATATATGTAAATAAATAAATGTTTGATTGCAAGAGTAATGCATAAAAATAAATTGCTTGTCTAAACTGCAATGGTCTCTCTTTTTACTGTGTTTCTACCTTTCTCTGGCTCTTTCTCTCTTTCGCTAACAGACACACCTCCCACCTGCTCTCTCCCTTTTCTATCTCTCTCTCCCTCCCTCCCTCACTTCCCTCACACTTTTCACTCAGCTACCCAAGATGGCGGCAGCCTCATCCATCCAGCCGCCGAGCGTTCACTCTTCTCTAGCCGGGGAGAGCGCACTTTCCCCGGAGATGGACAGCCCCGAGAGCCGGCAGCCGGAGGATGAGGAGCCGGCGGCGGCGCAGCCCTCCGACTCGGAGATTTGCCTCCGCGACCTGCCGGACCTGGAGCCGGAGGAGATCGAGAGGAGGCTGGCCAAAACTCGCCAGGAGCTGAGCAACAGGAGGAAGATCCTCATTAAGAACCTGCCGCCTGACACCACCAACCAGGTACAAGATAGTTTGGGGGGGAAAACTGGAGCAAAAGTAGCGTGACTCACTTGGGTGTCAGTTTTTACGCTCGTTAGATAAGTTTGCATTGACTGTCGCACTTTAATATACGTTAATGTTTGATGATAATACGGACCTGGCGTTTGATGCCCAATAGTGACATTAATGAAGCCCATGGTCGGCTAATATTTTCAAATCTCATAGGACACAAGAGCCACATATTCTTAAGGAACTTTTATTTTGAAGTTTATTTGAACAGTTCCCAAATTTACCACGGGATCTAACTAACAGACTGTTTGATTTTTCTCTCGTGGAGTGAAAGCAAATACACCCATGTGTCATTTGTGTACTCTGCTTACTGTCACTGATGTGATGGAAAACATCTCCAACTAATCTGACATATTTAAAGGCTCAATTAGTAGTTTGAGCACATTTATATTTCTGCAAAATTTGGCTGCTAAATATGGTTTTACTTTTGTATTTACAGCATTTCTGATGTCACCAAAGCTGAAGTCATTTTATTGATGTTTGCAGACTATCTGAACCCACCTATAAATGTCCCAGTGTCCTCCAAAACACTCTGACATGTCATGTTTCCAAGCTGTATGGGGCTTTTAAGTTCTGTTGCTTTCTTGCAACCAGAGGAGGTACTGTGATCGAAGCTCCTTTGCCTCTGTTATTCTGGTTTATCCATTATTGTAACTTACTCACCAACAGCTAAAACTAGTGAGCTATGTGAAGAAAAGCAGGAGTACATTTTGTAGATGTGGGCATTATTGCTCTTATGAAAAACAGCTTGGCATTACAGTTTTATCACCACTACCTTTATTGAGTATTTTCACTTTATTGAGCAGTGCATTTAATATGAACATATGCTTTTGCCACTGGCAGGTAGCATCTGTCGTGATTCTGCTTTTTTTCCGCTCTTGTAATTTGCAGCATACATTTTTATATTCAACATGCACAGTAGCAATCGACATTGTAGTCAGCTTATTTTCCTACAGGCAATACAGTATTGTAAAGTTGAAGTCCTTGCCCAAGCCACTTGTGTTATATAAATACTGTTTTGAGAACTACTTGACCAATATGATCCATGATTTCTGGCTTTACATGTTTACACAGTTTGCTGTTATCAGATTCCTTTACAGCAGATGAGTCAGTCTATCCTGTGTGTTTAATTTACACGCAAGAACTTAGCATTCATGCTTCTCGTCAAACACCACGGAGTGACTTCACTGTTTATAATTTTATAGTGTCGTTCATCACTTGCGTCGGCACGCAGAGCCTTTTGTATGTAGCCGATGGTGTATTCCTTCAAGCACCAAACATTCTTAGAAAGAGGCACGCTGCCAAGGAGAGCCAGCACTCTGCCTGGTGTTTGTGTGTTTGAGAGTGTGTGTTTGAGGAGAAAGGGAGAGGAGAGGGAGTGTGAAAGAGTGCGACTGCATGGTACTTGTGAGAAATGAGGAACAGGGGAGAAAGAGAGAGGAGAAGACATTTGGAACAGGTGAAGCAACAGAAGTGGAATTTCTCTCTCTCTCTCCCTCGCTCCGTATTTTCCACATTATTCATGTGTCAGAACGAGTGTGATATGTTTAGTGAGCCTGAGCAGAGCAGTCAGGGAGCAGAGCTGCGTGAAGCCCGCCCTGCTGAACGTGCCACATGAATTTATCCATTTAAAGGAGTAGTTCAAGGCTCTTTGACATCATGTAGTATGAGTTACTGGCTGGTAGTGATACTGTTAAAGCTCAGGCTACTTGGCTTTGTGTGTGGACATTCCTCAGAGATAGGGCAGCTTGTCAGAAATGAGCAGTTAACAGAAACCTTTTAAACCACATCACGGCACAAATACTGTAACCATCAGTAAGAGATCAAAACGTTGTTGTAGGAAGTTAACATTTTCTTTTTAACAGTGTGTTTAAAATGCTCCAACTGCTGCGTTCAAGTCACTGAGATATGTCCCATCACAGAACCTGTAGCCTGAGTCCGTATATCAGCAAAAGTGCTTAAATGATTCATTGATTATGCAACTTTGATAATGAATCCTTTTATTGCACAAAAATAAGAACATTTTCTTGTTCCAGATTCTTAAACTGAAGGATTTGCTCTTTCTCTGTTTTACATAATCACAAATTGAATATTTTTGGTTTTTCAACAGTTGGTTTGACAAAGAAAGCTTTAAAACATCACCTGGGGCTGTGAGAAGTTGCTAGGTCCTGTACAGGAATCCAGGGATATTCATAGAGCCAGTGTTGACATTACAGTATCTTCCATAAGGTTATAGATTTATGGCAAAGGAAAGGCCTCATCACTGTCTTATATGACCTGTCTGATGGACTCAACAACGCCCAGCCGACTCCATCTCCCATTCCCCTCATAGCCGCTGCCCCATTAGTGAACACTATATCGTAGATTGGATACACTGTACGTGCGTGTGAGTGTGTGGAGTCCGCGGTGCACTGTGTCAAATATATGGCCCCGCTGACAGTCTTCATCGCGGAGAGAGGTGGGGGGATGGGAACAACAGAGAGAAGAGTGCAATGGGAAAGGAGAAACGGAAAGAGTTGGGTGAGAGGAGAGGAGAAGAAGGGAAGACTGTAAAGAAAAGACGATAGAAAGAGGGCGTTGAGGGACAAGCAGGGAGATATACTTGGTTGAAAGAAAGATAGAGATGTATTCATACCATCCTCCTTAAATAGGAGCCATTAATGACTTATGATAGCATTGTATCAGATCGATAGGGTTTGCTAAAATGCTCTCCGTGGCATTTTACTGAATACAAATCCCAAATCCTTCTGAAAAACGTACCTAATATAATAAGTTTTAAACATGTACAAGTAATTAAAGTTATAAATAACCAAAACCTCAAAGATTCAGTTGAGATCTGTAATCAGCTTTTGTTGGTAGTGAGGGCAGAAACAGGCAGTTTTGGGTGGCAGCTTGACTTCTGGTCAAAACCTGTAGCAGTGCACACGAGATGTTACATAAATACAGGTGTAGCATACCTTAACGTGTTATTTTTCATCAACTATCTAACTTTGAAGGTCCCAGTTAAGAACTTTTAAGTTGAAGAGCTTAAAATATTGGTACTGTTTGAATGAAGTTGGACTTACTTAAAACTTAAAACGTAAGAATTTTCCTAGTCGACCAAAAGTCGTCATTTAGGGCCATTAGTCAACCATTCGCCCGCATGTTTACAATATTAATTTAATCATATATTGTGGGCGGGGCAACACAATGGTTTGAGTTCAAGGTGTGAGAAAGAATAGTATCAGTAAAGTTGTTAACACTGTTTTACATTACAGAGAAATACAAAACCGTACTAATGAACCTTCATTAATATAGGCCTATATTTTATCTACAAGTGCATGTCACACTGAGCGAGCCGCCTGTTAATGACACTGTCGGCAAAGCAGTAATGATTGTGCTAAGTGGCTAATGGGCATGTAGCTGCTTCCATGTTTCAGATGATACGTCATGTTTGTAGTTGACGAATGATAGGCAAATGTTTGCCTGCAGAGTTTAGGTATCACCTTGGGTTCGTCCTTCACCTTCTCAAAATGATCCCACACTAGTTATTAACTAGCCTGTGTAATAACTGCAGGTACCGTGTTGCTAACATTCTCAGTCATCCAGGTCATGGTAAACATAAGTGCTATATCATGGATATCTGGACAAGGCAAGCAAATCCAGTTGCCTACGATATAGTACTTAACCGCAGGTACCAGTCCTGTAAATAACGTGACTCCTGTCTGACTGCTGAGCGTGGCCACTTCCTGTGTCTGTATTTTCAAATTAAATTCCTACATGGACCTGTCATATAGGTTTTGATTTATTTTGACAAGGCGCAGCACCTAATGGGGTTTCACGTTTATTTATTTATTTATTTTTTTCTGCAACTAAGTGACCAGTAAAATCTTGCCAACTAATGACCTCTCTGTTGGACTAACATTTGGTCGACCATTAGGGGGCAGCCCTAGTAGGCTAACTAGGTGATGATTATTTTCCCTTGCTTACGATTTTTGATACCGATACTGTCTTGAACGTACAACCCTGTCTCCTACAAATCATGTTTGTGTGTTACTAATCTGCTTTCTTCATGATGTTTTTGTGGCAACGTAATAGCTGCCTGGATTGTGTTCAGAGATGACATTTCTTACAAATAATGAAATATGAATTCGTGAGCCACATAGGCTTCGAAAGGAGGTCGTTGGGGAGGATGGCTGGCGTACAAAGTGCAGGACTTTAACACGTAAGACACGTGAAAACAAGACTCTTGTCTTGTCCTCTCTTCCTAAATGTACTTTATTTAAGGTAATGGAAAGATCAGGATTTCAGTTTAATGTTATTAAAAAACAACAATGCTGTGTTGCTGTTTAGTATTAGGACTGCAACTAACGATTATTTTCATTGTCGACTAACCTGTCGATTATTTCTTTGATTAGTCGACTAATGATTTTATCGAAAAATGTGTCTGTCGGTCTGTCTCCCAAACCCAAAAATTATGTCATCTAATGTCTTGTTTTGTACTCACGCCAAAGGGTTTTAGTTCACCGTCATGGGAGAGTGTGTAAAGCTGCCAATATATGAAAGTAAGAAGCTGAAATAAGAATATTTTGGAGTACATTTATAGTACTTTTCTATGAAAAATGACTCAAACCGATTAGTCGACTACTAAAATAGTCATCAATTATTTTAATAACTAATAGGGTTAGGGTTTTAATAACTAACGACTAATCGTTGCAGCCCTATTTAGTATCAAGATTTTTGTGACTTGCCAGGTATGTTAATTAGTAACATTTCCTCTTTATGTTAATAGAAAACGTAATTTGCTCTGCATTATGTTTCTTGCAAAATGTACCTGCTGTTTCAAATAAGTTGTATATAAAACTAATTTGTTTTTTTAGCTGCTTCTTCTATAACATTGTCATACCCAGTCGGGCAGTTTAAAAAGAAGTCGATGGAGCAGAACCAGTGATCTCAAATCATGCTCTTCCCTA